AACTTCAGTGGATTCTTTATCGGACATTAATATTTTTACGAAAATGTTACCTAACTTTAAGGGCTGAAAACAGTGTGTGTGTCCAAGGACAAAGCTAGCTAACTTCCCAGCGGATCATATTTACATTAACTCGCTCATCGTAAATCCTCGATAAGATATCAAGGAAGTTCCAGACTAGAAAGAAAACTTTATATTGTTTGTAAATTTGTGAAATTTTTGTTTATAAATCATTGTTTGTAGTAACTATTTGTAATAATTGTTATTGTAAGTTGTACTGTTATGTGTATATTAAAACGTATTTGTGTGAAAAACGAGAACGGTGAGTATCAATCTTGTTGGCAAATATCGTAAATTGACTAGTATATCGGCATATATTTAAATACTAAATCCAAAGTACAATTTATTTACTAAATTTAAATTATCAGTTCACTCAATTTCAGGTGTGAGATGCAATAGCCAGATCCACACTGTTATTACTTGGTATAATATGAGTGCCTGTACGTTTACTTTATACTTGTTTTAGCACTTTCTGACTGGTTGGATGGCTAACAACCACAGTGTAATCAATCAATACATGACTGTACATTTGCAGTTTATTTTCATCAAGGGAAAATGGAAATTCCCATAGTATTTGACTTTTATACCTTTATTCTCTTTATTTTCATTATAACTTCTAATACTGTATTTATATGTATACACATTCATGAACGTACATATGCAAAGAGATACTGAGTGTAAGAGAAGGAAATTAAAAAGCTAGTTTATTAACGTTTCACAAACTAGTGATGAACGTTATTGTTAGGTATATAATACAACCAACACAAGTTAATACCAAGAAGATATATATTTGGTATTAGTAATAGCCTTACTTCCAACAGCAGTAGTAACTTGAGGATATTGTATACTCTACTGTGTTGTCTAGATGTACGTAATTGTAGACGAGCGAAAAACGCTGAAGATTACCATTAGTTATTACCTCAACAGTGAATAATATTTGATAGTCACTTAAAAATACGTTTGAACGTAATATATACATTGCGAAAATTATAATGTTGTTATATTACATCTAATGAAAAACACCTTAGGTGTGAATAAAAGGTGTGGCCAAAGAAGGATTGAGCGTGCGACTTAAAGGAATGAAATCAAAATTGGCAGCCAAACCGGTAGCTAGGCCCGGCATGGCCAGGTGGTTAGTGCGCTCGACTCGTAATCTGAGGGCCGCAGGTTCGAATACATTCGGTACAGTCGTATCAAGCATCATTATTTACGCTAATTGCTTAAGTTTATGTCACATGACGCTAAATGATTTCTAATTAGGATAATTTCATAAAATTTACAAAATATGTGCTTAAAAGTTGTCAATGAATTATGATAATGATCGTCCACCCGTATGATTCTTTTGAAAACTTGAGCTCGAAACTGCTAATCTAACTTGCATGGCCTAACCAATACTTGTGTATCTGCACGTGCATTCACCCTATAGTTTTGCTGCTCTAAATCAGCTGTTTTTAATACGAATAATAAAAAACTAAAAACGGTCCACATTTTCTTTTAGGTGAAGCTATAGTAAGGATTTCAGACCGATAACTCAAATGACTTTTGCGTAGACGTGCGCAAATATTTTAGTCAAAATTGAATGGTTTTTGTTGAATAACTTTGCACATGTGGCTTATATTTAGACCAAATTTGAACTTAACTGTAGTTGTAAATTTGAAAAAAATCCATAAAAGGTAAGTATGTTTTTCTATTAAATATAGTTTCCATACTTTCGGTGCGAAAAAAAAGGAGGGAAGAAATTCAATCAAAATTGTATATTTTATATCTCGTGCATTTCTTAATGGATTGCCTTGAAATTTGGTATGTGAAGTAAGGATCCAGTAGAGCACATTCCCTGAAAATGTATGTTTGTTTGGATTATTACAGTCCGAGCTACAGAAAATGGAAAATTGCTAAAGTATCACTCCTATTAACACACACTGTGTCCTGCAGGTTGTTTTGCCCGCACGACACACTACCGTGTGGCTTGATTATATAAAACCAGCAGCTAAATTTTGACATCTACTTCTGTACTAACATTTAACCAGTCTTATCTGTGATAATGCTAGCTGGTTAAACATTATGATGCTATATGTTTTACGTTGTAAAAAGAAAGACGAAAATAAATTTCGAAGGAAGGGGGAATTATTGGAATGTTTCTTAATAAATATTTGATACACATGTTATTAGTGTATAAAACAAGTTCCGTTTAACGAGATTAATTGAGCATGAGACGATTCCGACAAAAAACCAACATATTTGATACTACAGTACAAAAGCCCAAATGATTTAATATCCATAATTCAAGGTCTCCAGTGGCACAGCGGTATATCTACATACTTACAACGCTAGAAACCTGGTTCTGATACCCGTAGTGGGTCGACCACCAATAGTCTATTGTATAGGTTTATGCTTAATACAAACAACCACCCACCCATAATTCAATAAAAAATAAGGTAAAATATTGGGATACATAATAACTTTCTTATTGTAACTATCACATTATCCAACTTCTTCACAAAAATGTATTGTATCATAACACATCATTGTTCTTTTTTTTTATCTCTCTGTTTTAGTACTTACGGCACTTTGTCTATCAACAACATCATGACAGAGACAGAGTAGAAGCACAAAAACATAAACATTAATCTTCGTCTCCCCAAAGTTTCAACAAGTAACCATGCGAAGAAAACACCTAGAAGAGAAAAACAAACTTTTAATTATTACTATATTCATTACTTACAATTCTGCAAAATATCTACAGTAAGTTTTAGTTCCTGTCTACAGGAATTTTAAAAGACGCAGAACTTCTAACAACAAAGCAACACTTTACAACAACTTTTATATGTAATTATTAAACTTCATTTTCTTAAATATATATATATATAATAATAGCTTTGCATAAACACGCAACTGATTCTGTAACTTAGGGCCATAGTTGAATTGATTGGGCCATACAAGGTCAGCCTCCCCCCCCCCCCCTTCTCTTCCCACCTCTCGATGGCTCATCGCTAAAAAGCTGGTTTTCATACCCACATTGGAAAAGCACAGATAGACCTTTGTGTATCTTTGGGCTTGACAACAAATATTCTTTGCTCTCCCCCACCCAAGATTTTTCTGAGATGTCACTCCTTGTTGTTTGGTCTTAAGTTATTACAGAAGATCTATCATGAAACCCTATGCTTCTCTCACTGTAATTGTTTGTAAAAATAAATAAAAAAACAGTCGTTCAACGCTGTTTTCATTTTAAATATTTTATTATTTCAAGTTTAGTAAAATTATTAAGACTTTTTTAAATTTTTATATATCTGTTGAATTAAGTAAGGCACAGCAGGCCTAAGATTACGGCTACATCATTTAAACAGCTTAGTCATCTTCCGAGAGTGTTTAAAGACATTTTCAATTTTTTTTTTATATGAGGTAAATAAACTTTATTTCTTAAAAAAAAACTCACAAACAAAATCTATTAAAAAAGACCGACTAGTTTCGACCATAGACCTACGTTAGGTGTCAGTTGATTGAATACATCTTCCATTGTTGAAAAGAAAATTATTTTGAAAACATTCAATAATGCACGAGATATGGCCAACAAAACGGATGTTCATAGAAAAGATGAAATAGCGAAATATCATATCTCGCGGGATGTAGTGTTTATTTTTAACATTTCTGAAATATAGCAAGAATAAATTGTGAAGTAATTTCAATCAATCTCTAAAAAAATTTATATTAATCGACAGAAAGAATTGATTTTATTGACTGAAGGGGCCATGTGAGACTATCATTTACGTCTTGGGCGTTTTTATTTCTGATAAATATACTTTCAGTCATTTTTCTTTCAACAGAGTTGAATGTTTTGAAACTATTTCTGTGGTAAAAGGACTACCAGGAATAGGTTCATCCTAGTAGTAAGAAGCGTAATGTGAATCGAAAGTTTAATATTCATCCTTTTTCTTTGCACCTCTGTCTTGTTGTATGATCCTTTCTGTCTACATCAGTGGTTCCTAAACTCTCGCGACACCCCCAGCAACTTACTAGTAAACCACTGATCTACATGTTCCTCTGACTCTCCTGTCGGTCCCCTCAAATGACGCCCCTGAGCCAAACATAATTTATTAATGAATAATGTCCTTCTAAGGACGTCTAAAGACGTTATTACTTTGTGAAGAAAGTATTTTTGCCAGGTAAATGCTTTCTTTCATCCTTAAAAGAAACGTTTAACTTGTGTTACGTTTCGGACTTATACTTAATGGTTATTTTTTGGTTGTTGTGTTTTGTTGTTTTCTTGAGGATGAAATAATGTATTTGTCTGGCGTAAATTATTTTCTTTAAAAAGCAATAATAAATCTTAAAATAGAGCCAATTACGACAACTTACGTTTTGCACTCACAAATTGGTTCCTTTAATTATTTATTTGGGACCTGTGTTGAAATTCCGTATGGTTATGAAAAAAAGGTTAACAAAACTCAAGTTAAGTCAATTAATCAAGAGGTATTTCTTATTGAAAGCTTTAGTGGGTTTAAATTTGAAAATAACACTAGCAATTCATAACGTATTACCTAGGATCTCTGCAGCTGTGGTCCACATTAGATTGATGTAGTCAGAAAGCAATAGTGGATTACAGGGCATGTAATATTCCGGAACAGTCAAGTTTGCGGAATAAATTTGTTCTTCTTCAGCATACTGGCTAACTGTAAAGAAAACGATGTACCAAAAGCGCGTTTTCTAAATGTTCCTAATTAAATACTATCTACTGTTAAAGTTTGTTCTCTACCTAAATGTGTTTCACACAAAAGTACAATTATTTTGTAAAACTTAGCAAACTTACCAGACGTCATTAATCTTTATTAAATTACAAGGAGAAGGTAGGATTAGAAACAGTGTACTTTGTGTAATGATTGGACTACGTTCCATTAAGTTAAGAGTTTCATTTCTGAAAATTAAAAAGATCGTCCATACCATGAAAAGAAGTCAAGTTGTTAGTGGTGAGTAAAGTATTTTACATCAAAGCCTACGAATCGATATAACAAAGGTGTTTTTACTAAGCCTAACTTCATAGATGAATGATTCCGATGATATAAATAAACTTACGCCACTGGTGATGAATAATGTTTTTAAATTTAGAAATAATTGAATATTTCATGTACATCGTAGGTATCGTTAATGAATACAACTTACAGTATAAAATTAAACAACAAATACCGCTTAATTATTATACTTTGTATCAGCAATGTATATTAATTTCTTATCCACTTTTCTCTCACCATGCAATGAAAAAGATATTATTTAATAAGTATTTGGTTATGAAGCTTACACAGGTAAGCATTAAGCTTTGTATTATAGAACCGTTAATATATATTATAACTTCACTTTATTTAATAGTGCACTATGATATCGTGTAAGAAACCTACATTGCAGCCGCCCTCTAGTATTTAATTTCAATGATCTATTAAAATGCTGAATATTTAACAGTAATGATTATCGTCACTTCAAATCTACCTACTTTTTATCGGCAGTCCACCATGTGAAATCACTTCTGGAGCCAGAAGAACAATACCATAGTATAGAAACAATATGGAAAACCTAAAATATAAAAGCTTTATCTAAGTAGATAATCATTAATAAATCTTTGATTAACATGAATAAAACATAAGTTTCTTGGTAGACCGCTTCAGTTTTTTATTGGGGGTTTTGTATTGTATGGATTTTCAAACCAGATATTTTAATCTTGAAGATGAGTAGTTAAAGGTTTATCCACGAATGGCATAATCCATGAAACAGCGGTTTGATATGGTGGTTTCTTTTTTTAGCTGTCGTTTGTTATAATATTGATAGTCAAAACAGTAACGTTTGAAGTTTCATCCTGGCTTATGTCTTACCATTCAAGGTGTTGCAGATTTTTTAAATTCTTATAAGTTGAGCCATAATAACACTCCTTTTTCTAGGTGATAGATGGTGTGAGTTATAACTTATAGTGTCGAATACTGTGTTTAACATGTGATTTCGAATATACGGTAATAATACGTTTATTGTTTTCAATAGTGGCCATGGCATCAGGAAAGGGTATAGTCTTCCAGACATTATTATTATGAGTGTGTGTGTGAGTATTACATTGAGGAATTAGTTATTAAAGAATTCAACGAATTCCAAAACAGAAGGGAGACCATTATTCCATATAACAAAAATGTCGTACATACATCTGTACCACCTAACTGGTTCAAGGTTAGTTTAAAAATTCCACTGAGAAAGAGCATATGATTCAAAGAATTGCATAAAAATATAGGCCAAAATGACAGCAATATTGTTGCCAATAGCCCTACCTTTGGTTTGTTTATCCCTATAACTCCCAGTACCATTTTGAAATCCCTTTTTGTACATGTCACAAAATGTTACTGAGCTATATTCAAAATTCAATTAAACCATTTTACTATCAATGTATTTTAATGAAACTAGCATTATCAAGTACATTATGATTTAAAATCTTACACTACTTAAGGTTTTATTCATTATTTCAAAAGAAACTGCTAAATGAATAATTAAAAAAACTTGAAATGCAGGTGGCTATAGAAACTGAAATTTTGACTTTTATAGAAGAAACAACTATCTTTCTTTCTTGCTGGCAATAAACTATATGGACATACAGTTCTAGTATTAGTAACTTGATATAAATTCTTAAAACTGGTATCCAAAGTAAATCATTATAAACTATGCCACGCCCACTTGAAAGGCATGCTTATTATAACTTATTATGCTATTATAACTAATAGAAAGAGCAGATTTCGCCCTTCAAGGTCGTTTATCCTTAAACAACATATATGGTACAGATTTACTTTCAGCTCCATTATAATAAAGCTAAGTTCATTCATGAGAGTGGGTTCTGTAGTGTTTGTCAATTTTCTTTCACCTTATATGTATAAGTTTGATAGACAGTTAGATAGCATTTAGGTTTTACTTTTATATTTTAGTTAGTTATGTATTATTTGTGTTTTAATATTTATATTTGAAAGCGTTAATTATTCTTAAAAAATATTCTATACTTTGAATTGCTAAAACACCATTGAGATACTTGCAAGAGCAAAAAATATTATGACAGAGGGGCTAAACCTAACAGCGGAATTTAACTTAACATTTCCCATGGCACTTGTTGACACAAATAATCAAAGATAAAGAACAGGAGAGGAAAATAAAATATTAAAAATGTATTATAAATGAAAAGATAAAGATGTGAAATTATACATGCCAATCACTGAAGATGTCATTAAAGTAATCAATGAAGATTTAAAAGGTATGCATATTTATATTTCTTAATTTTAAACATTTCATTGCACTGTACATTGATGATAATAGCTAGAGTTAGTGATGTTGTAGAGAAAATGGCAAATAAAATATAAACATTTATCTTAAAAATGTTTGATATTCATTTGCAGGGAAACATAACAACTGTAAGGTAAAAATTACTATTTTTATATTCAACATAAAAATCACTTTGCAGGTGAACTATTAGGAGTTTAAGTACAGAAAGAACTACAATAAATGAATTTTTTTGTTATTTTAAAAAATTAGAAAAGTCAAAATAAAATGTTTTATTTTTTCTGAATGTACATACTTTTAGGAACATTATTGTCAAATTTTAAACAATTTCATCCACTAATGTTATTTTTGGAACGAAATATGATGAGAGTGACGTTACCTACTAAGAAAATTAGCAGCCAGTATTCACAAGGTTATATAGAGCTGAACTGAATTTAAAGTAACTTACTGAAAACAGATCAGAGGGAATTTTTAATGAGTTGCATAGTAGTATCATTGGTAGTAGAAAGTGTAGTCGATCTAATAAGATTTATAATCGAGCTTATACTTTCTTCAATTGAAATGGAAGAGTACATAGAGATGATATCAATAATAAACAGTATTATGTTTGAACTTATCTGTAATATAAATTGTTGATAAAATCATTGCTTCACCATGCACCATTCTACTGTATTGTTGTAATTATATATTATTTTTCGTTACTATAATTTAAAATCAGTTTGAGGTCTGTGGTGAGTATAGACCTTTAAAAAAGGTGTAAGCTGAAACTTTAGGGAGAATACAAAAACAATTATCTGAAGTTGTTTGTCATCTTCATTCAAAATTATGTTATTAATTATTATATTATTTCGTCTTGTAATATGAGATCATTGTAAGTTACATTCAATAAAACAGTGGGAACTTAAAAAATAATTACAGAATCCTGATGGTGAGTACAAGGTTTGTAGGTGGCATTAAAGTCTAGCTTGTAATTTGTTGCATGTTCTGCCTGAATTATTTTCATAATGTCCTAATAATTATCCCCATATCTTATACATTTATCTGTTCTATTTATAAAAGGTGGATAATAACATGGTTTGAACTAATTTGCTGCCAAAGAGACATAAATGTTATAAGACACCATCACTGTCCACTCAGGTTTAAGGAGTTAATATAAATCAAAGTGGTTTCTGAATATTTATTTAGTGTTGGGTTTGAAGAGTTAGTTAATAGTTCTTCAGCTATTTTTCTTTTGATCATGTCTGGTTCTCTTTGAATGATTTCAATGTTTGTTAACTTTGATTTTCATTTCTGTCCCAGTTTCTCTAAAATAAGCATTTAAAAGCTTGCTTCGTAAATGACTGTTGTTTTATTCTATGTTGGATAATTGTTAGTAATTATATTTGAATGTACTCGAATGATGACAGAGTTAGCTGTTTCTGATTAGTGTTAATAAGCTCGATTACAAATTCAGACATATCCTAATTTTTAATATCCGTCTACAAGAAATAGTCTAAAGTTCGGTCAAATCCTGGTCACTTTTTAAATATAAATACCCTGTCCCTTTCACCACTACTAATCAGACTGATGCGCTTCTACTACATGGAAGAAAGCATGATAAACCAGCCTTTAAACGTAAGTATATTGTTACATATATTTATTTGCTAATAAGTCTAATTTCTGTGTTTCTTTGACATAGTAATGTTTGTTTTCAGTAATATTCATTATATCAATAAATAATTTATTGTGTTTTACTAATTATATACTATATTATATTTTAGTCTATTGGAAAGAAAAGAAATGCTGCTGACATTAATGAAATGACGAAAAAGATCAAATCCAGCAGTGAAGAAGAACCAGTGAAACATAAAAATACGACAGTTAGGTTCCTCTATTATCATTCAATGTGAAGAAGCACCTTATTCATGTCATTCCTATCCTATTGGGAACGACCGTTACATCACTCTATTAGCCTACGAGAATAACTTGAATATTTATATTTGACAGTTCAAGTACTTTGGAAAGGGAAAACTATATCCAGCCAAGGAAGGTATCACTTTTTCTTCAATAGAATGGGAAGAATTTAAACAGTAGATCTCAAACATTAATGTGACTATATAGAGCAAAACTGAACAAGGTTTTCTTCTAGAAGGACGGAATCGTGTTGTATGTGTTGATAATATCCGAATATATTTTGTTTACATATCGATTTGATTATTATAGTATTGATATGACATCTCATAAGTTTCTCATTATTTTATCAAATTCAGAATGTCAACATTTATGTGCAAAGATTTCTCATTTTTATACTTACTAAAACACTACAGTTCATAATGAAAGGAAACTAAATAATCAGATTGAATCAATTCTTATTAATATATATACACGGAATAAGTGAACCCTAGAAAGAAAAAACAGTTTGAAGCATGTGAAATCGACGATCTTAGTCAAACTCATCATTCTTGTAACATATTAAATCATGATGAATGTGTATTGTTATATTTGAGATCTGCCCTGACAAGAATGAATAAATTTATTGTTCAATCTATGTTTCATCAATGAGTAACACATTTAAATTTATCTGGTCTTATCAATGAAACTTTCTGAGATACTGTAGAGAAAGACGACTTTATCGAAGATTTATCAAATATAATGTGCATTTTAAGAACAAACAAAATTTGTAAAATAACTGTGATAACAGTTAAAAAAGTTCTTGACAAAATATTTCAATTTGTTGCTTCTTATAATAAAAAATATTGTCTTTTGCATTTTATAAATCCAACATATTTATTGTCTGTCATTACAGAATATACTTTACATTCAAAATAAGCCTTTATGTTCACCATACTTTAACTCTGACAATGAAGAATAGATTCTGTATTTCACTGAACTTAACAGTAATTGAAACAAAATTATCTATTTATATGCTTTATATAACAATACAAAAATCTAAATGTACTTTCATGAAATTCTCAATCTTGGATGGTACATTAAGAAATTATTTTCTGTTTCTAAGCTATCACTTTCTCTTTTCGATCTAGAACTCAGATATTTCTCATTTGAATATTACACCAAGATCTATACATAGTCTAACTTAATTTGGGCTATGTTTTTCAAATTTATCCAATGGTAAATTCCTCTCACAAGTTGACAGCTTGGTAACATTTTATATTTACAAATAACATAAACTGATATGTATGAATTATAAATACTGAATTATCAAGAATATATTACTTTCATACAAGTCTGGTATATAACAATTAATGTATAAATTTGTATGTTTTTCTACTCAGTTAGAAATTCTCAATATTTGATGGTATATTAAGCAATTATTTTCTGTTTCTAAGTTGATACTTTCTGTTTTTGAACTAGAACACACATTAAAGAATAAAAGATGTCTAGCAAAGATAAGAGAATGTTATCCACTTTTAAAGCAGTTTTGTGAGCATTGATAAAAAAGCATCTTTTGATGGTAAACAGGTGTACAATGCTAAACACATTGTCACTAATATGTTGTGTCTATGGGTGAAAAGAAAAACAATTAGGGGACAATTAGCTGTTTGAAGACATTCACTGAGATAATTGGAGTTTACCCTCATACAGACCTGCAAAAAACTTGTGTTCAATCTATGCTAATTGTACAACAATTTTTTTGAGTTACAAGAATGTCTAAATACATAAGTCTATCGTCGAAGCTGGATGAGACCTTTTATCAGTACCCAAGCTCGTAGTTTCAGCTGGACATGTATCAAAGTATTGGTCAAAACACTATATCATTCATTAACACTACATCAACTTTAGAAGTGACATTTCCAACCGACCCACGAACTCGGATACTGGTGAAAGGTCTCGTTCAGCATCGAAGACAGACTTATGCATTTAGACATTCTGGTAATTCAAGAAAGTCATCATACTGCTGGATTTGATCGTTTTTGCTATTTCATTAATGTCAGCAGTATTTCATTTCTTTCCAATAAATATAATATCGTATATGATTAGTAAAACACAATAAATTATTTATTAATATAATGAATATGACTGAAAACAAACATTACTATGTCAAAGAAATACAGAAATTAGATTTATAAGATGTATAAGAAATAGATGTAACAATATACTTACGTTTAAAGGCTGGTTTATCATGCTTTCTTCCATGTAGTAGAAGTGCATCAGTCTGATTAGTAGTGGTGAAAGGGACAGGGTATTTATATTTAAAAAGTAACCAGGATTTGACTGAACTTTAGACTATTTCTTGTAGACAGGTATTAATTTACATACTATGAGGCTCATAGTACCTGATGTTTTTGTTAGGTATGTATGATATACGTTAATTTTACTTACATGATAGTATATGGGACTATGAAAAAATGTGAGTTTTATATAAGATAATCACAGAATACTGTTTTCTAACTTATGATCTTTCTATAAAGTGAAATAATCGAAGAATTATAGTTAAAAGTTGGTTATGTTCATTTGTGTATTTGGAAAACTAGCAAGTTTAAATGTACAAAAAAGTTTTGAGAGATGTAGAAATGAACACATATTACATTTTTCAATATGTCTAATGAACAGAGGTCAAAACTTGTTATCAACTGTAAGTTGAAATATCTCACAGCCCCACACTGTATGTGTAACCACGTGATGACCTTCTAACAGACAGCTGTCTTGATGTCAGGGCCTACACATGTGTATGTATGTGATTTTCCTAACAAACAGTGTCTTAACCTTAGACAGTCTCAAAGTATTATGAAATTTTTACCTTTAAGGGAATGTTCTATAAAAATGGATGGATACACAGTAAGTCATTCATTTATTATTTTTAGATGTAGCAAAATGAAATCATACAAAGAATTTTATAACATGCATTATATGTGTGTATATATATATTTATATATATATATATATATGCAATTAAAGTGAATAAGTAATGAAAGTTATATAGAGAATCATATTACCATCGTTTTCAGGACAAAATTATGTAAAGTAAATTATTGGTTATAATAACTGTCTCATCAAATAATGGATAATATGTATGTTATAATAGTTGTCTCATGTTGTTGATGTGGTTTACGAAGCTTTGTTTTTCTTTGGAGTTGGAGTTGAAACCGCAAAAAAATATTGTCGGTATATCTTAATCAATGCAAAGGTTTAAAGATGACTGTATTTAAGACCTTTTTTTATTTGAACTATGAAAAGTGTTTGCTAACGCTTGATAGTGTTCCGCCTATACAGATGTCGTTGATTTGACAATAAGTCAAGTAGTTTCTTAATGGCCAACAACTACTGAATACTACATGGACACCACTTGTCAAAGGCATAAAACATATTATTTGTCGTGGTTTTGATGTAAAACTAAACATTTAATTCTACAATGTATTGTTTGAAGTAGGAACAGTTTATCTTTATATTTTTTATTTTTCTGTGTTATGACTATAATTGAATTTTCCTTATTTCTATTACACTGAAATAGACCTTTTTTCTTCTATATTCATCATAATTTTTATATGGTTAATAACTTTAATACCAGATTACAGTTATTGTTACAATTCTTGCTTAGACACTTTTCAATACAGTGTTCCATGGATAAATGACGTTGGATTTGTATTGCTCAATACAGTCCCCCAGTGGGACAGCGGTAAGTCTACAAATTTACAACGTTAAAATCCGGGGTTCGATTCCCCATAGTGGACACAACAGATAGACGAATGTGGATTTGCTTCAAATCAAAACAAACAATCAATTCTCAATACATTGTTGCTCGTTGAAGGTTCCGGTAAGAGAGCCGAAATTTCGCAAATTGAAGAAAAGTATTTTAACTTAGAGAAAGTTTCGTGTGTAATTACACATAATAAGTTAAGTCGTTGAATTTGAAACGGAACTTCGTGGGGAGGTTCAACAAGGTTACACGACTTGATAAGGACGTGAAAATTATTCGTTCACAAAATCCATTGAAACCATTGTAATCAAAAATGAACACCACAGTTAAAAGGCATCTTGAAGGACCCTCAAACATTTCTGAACATCTTAAAGAAATCAGACATTTTATCAATAAAAACAATGCCGAAATCATCTGAACAGAGCCAGATATCAACAGAAGAAAAACATATGAAGAACTGTTAACTAACTCCAACACTAATAAATATCCAGAGAACTCCCCTTTATCTATATTAGTATTTTATTCACCTCATTTTACTTAATAGTTAGACTTTAATGCTACCTACAAACCTTATTCTCACCAATACGATTCTGTGGGGGTTCTCTGAAATTCAAACTGTTTTATTGAATGTAACAGTCACCTGACGATGACCCAAAACTTTGGATCGAAACATTGCAATAATCAAAATCAAAATTTCCCTATTCCAAAAGTTACTGTTATTGATTTTCGAATTTATGCTAGATAAATTTTTATTTCTTTGATTCGTTTTCTATTTTATTTATAACATTAAGAAATAAAATATCACATACAATAATAAAACATTTATTCTAATATATTAAAACGGACGATTTGTACACAATATTATATTATCTATCACAGTATCACAACGTTTCATCTATACACCTTTCAAACTCAAGTTATCCAGCAATGTTAACGTTTGGGTTTATATGGGAGTGTTAGAACCAACAATGTTGATAAATATAATATTTTAAATATATTTTTATGGTAAAAGAAAGAATCGTTTTAATTAATTTTCCAGTATGTTAAAAAAGATTAACAAAAAGTTCAGTTGGAAAACTTAATTATTTACTCACCACAAGTAAATTAAACAGAAAAAAAGTTGTTTTCCTTCTTTAATCAGAGATATGAAAGAGTTTCTCTCTGTGTTATCAGAAGGAATCTGCAGTTTCCCAGCTGGTCGAGATATCCCGTTTTCCTCCGCCATTTTTATTATAGTATCCTCTGCTTCTTTGACTTTACCATGAGTCAACATGTATCGAGCACTCTCCGGACACCACTAAAAGATTAATTAATTATAAAAGTAATGTGTTTATATACATATATCAGAAAAAATAATTTTACTAAGACCTTTCAAAATTTCCTAACAATATAAAGTTTTTAATAAAATGTTTTACTTGTAATAGTATGCGTGCATGTCTATATATTTACATATGTTTTATATGGCATAATCAAGGCGCATGTTCCAATTCCTTTAACTATCAGGTATTTATAAGAACATTGAATAATTTTTAAAACTGCACGATAAACCCTTACCTTTGATAAGATAAGAAAGAAGACCATAGGGATCACGGAAATAAATAACACAAGACGCCAGGAGTTTTTCGTTGTCATGACGACCATAGCTATTACAGTTACAAGAATCGAACCAACACCCCAGAAACCCTATATGATATAACAGCATATTTAGTGTGAACATTTATCTCTCGCCTTTGTTAAATATTGTTTCAAAATTTCATGATCTCGATTTGTTTTGAGGGATTCTTCATGTACAGCGATCCCACAGAATCCACGTATGTAACCATGGAATTTATCTATATATATCAGGATGTATGCAAATTCAACACAAGGCTTTTTTATCACATAGAATCATAAACATACTTATACATTGAACAATATAATTCTGACTCAAATGAAAAAATATAATTCATGAAATCGAAAGTTTCGCAACATTATGTTTCAATTATTGGTTTTCAGAAGATAAAAAAGTAAAACAGCAAATATTTTGATAAACGCAGAGTTAATAAAAGACCAGTTGAGGGTCAAAGAAATGCAAGGATTAGTTATTAAATAAGTACTTATGAGCTCGAAAGGAATACTGTTGTATCGATGCTCTTAATACAAACAAAAAAATTCAGACAGTTGACAGAAAAACAGTGTTGTAAAGGTTAGAAAGTGTATAGATTTTTTCTTCACGAACATGTAGAAAAAAATAAACTTACGAAGAAGAACAACGTGTACTTCCCTCGAAATTTAGTGGGAAGATATTCCATATACAGGACCATTCTGAAAAACGTTATTTTTTATCTTTAAGCATTTAAGTAGTAAAGTATATTTATGTGTTATTTGTTAAAAACAATAGCGAATGGCTTTTACACACAGAAATACAGAACTTCAATTTCAAATACCTACTTATCATAGTGAATAGTAGTGATATTAACAACATAACTTGTACGTATTAATATATAATTTGACAATTAACGTTTTTCTGAGATAAAAAAATGAAAGTTGATTTTTAAGTTAAGCGTGATTTCACTATATTTCGACATATTTTCATAATAATAGGGATGCTTATAATTCGGTAAAAAGAATAAAGTATGATTACAGCTAGATTTAAACTTGTTTCATCCCCACTATCGTAATACTTTTTCTATTAGCTTATAAATGCAAAATATGTACTCAGAAATACCGTTCAAGATTACGAATTGGTATTAAATACGACAGTTGTGCTTTTATAGTTAATTTCCTATACTTACATCCCGCTCACGCCGTGCATGAAAAAACCAAGAATCCCACGAAATGCAAAAATCCATCCTATAGATGGAGCCAGAACAGTCAGAATTCCACAAAGTACAATAATGCCGGTAGTACCAATAACTACCTAGATGATAACATAAGTAATATCATGAACAAGACCAAACTCTTAATTTTCATCTTGTAAATATTCTTTTTAAGCTCGCCTGATTATCTAATAATATGGATTACACAAACCAATGAAGTATGAATTACCTTTTTTTTCACAAAGGTTCAGAATCGATACCAGATTAAACTAAACGTTTAACAGGAAAAGTCACCTTCACTACTTTAATAATAGGGTTTTATTAATCATATTCTAATACACTTTCTTCTTTTAAGTTTCTGAAGAAGTTTTCACTACACTTTTATACACTACTGCTTCTTACTTGAACAATTAAGTTATTATTCTTTGAAATCAGTCTTATTTGATGTGATATACGATAATTTTGAAGTCATCCCTCCAATGTAACACAATGATCGTTTCGATTTGCGCTTCTATCAGATTTTAAAGAGTTAGACGTTTTGCCAAAGAAAATAATATGAGTTGAGAACTTTCGCTACCATGCCAAATTACTTGTATAGTTTTGTACCAAGTCAATACGTCTTGCAGAACCGTTGAAAACGAAAACAAACATTAAATGTTATTATTGGATATGAGTTGAGAACTTTCGCTACCATGCCAAATTACTTGTATAGTTTTGTCCCAAGTCAATACGTCTTGC